GACCAGTGTGTTCGCATGCCTAAAATAATAAGAACTGTATTTTGTTGAACTGTACATATATTCTTAGAAAACAATAAAAGATAAATGTTCCATGAGCGTGATGATTCCACTTGACATACTATCTAGCTTTCTACATAAAGCACAAAAATCTTTATGTCTGTCGGTCGTTATGTAACTACTACTAGGACACTAGGCCAATCTAAAACAAACTTTGTGTTATGATAGTTTGGAACAAAGGACATATTAATGGGGGTTCACAACCCCTTCCATCCCTGATCATTGCTGTTATTAAACATTTATTTTCTTGGGCGTAAGTTATCGTTAACTATATTCATAGATGGCGCCACGTCCTTACACCAAAAAAAGCTATTAAATTTTCTAAAACACAACATACACACAGTGTGGAGGAGGGCACACACAAACGTCTTGTATATCTCAGAAAGTGCACTAGCACCCTCTACGGAGGAAAACCATGAAAATAAATTGCCGCCGCTATTGCAGAACTACATAAATTCAGCTGAAGTTTTTACTCCAACAGCCACTATACGGTTGATATGAAGAGCTGTTTCTTGAGTTATACCCACTTCCTACTTTGACCAGTGACCTTTCAACTTAGGCCCGTAAGACACTTCTATGACCAGTGACCGTCAATTAATTAATCACGTGAAACACTGTGGAAGGGCATTAAGAGGTGGGTGTTGAAAGCGGGTAACATTATTTTGGGCGCTACCTTTTCCTACAAAGTCATCCTGACCATCGCATAGTGTATACCATGTTTTAAATATATACATATTGAATTATTAAAGGTTATAAAAAACTTTTAGTGAGGTAATAATTAAAACTGCAATAATATGTTATGTTATAAATAAATTGTATGAAAGTTAGGATTTTTGTTTTATTTATCATACCATCCACCCACACATTTTTTAAGTTCATAACCTGGATAAAGGACGTGTATCTCAGCTTGTAAGGATTATAAACCAGAAAACGTTTGAAGGAGTAAGTGAAGCATGCAGATCTTGCTTTGTCACTACTTTTAGTACAGCAAGACCTTTAGAAGCAGATGAATGCAATGTGTATGCATCAACCCTGTGGCACTTATATGAGCAGTTACACACTTAGGATGGTGTAACTGTACTTTGCTATCAACTATAGGTAACTGGAACAAGATATATGATGCAGCATATATAGTCAGTCTCAAGGGATATATTTTCGATTTCTTGATGCCAAAATTGAAGGACACCAACGTGTTCATTAGACTACAAATTACACCTTTACTGGTATCAGTATCTATAAAGAAAGAACAATGTTGCCGATGATAAGCTAACATCAAAGTTTTAACTAAGAACATTTTAATGACTGAAATGCTTGATCACAGATTTCTGTCCACCTGAATAACATGTCAGCCTTAGTAACGGCAGTTATCTTGGACAAGTTGACAGCAAAGGTTCCCTGATACGAAGCAAAGCCTAGAAAGTTGTATACTTCTCTTTTAGTTACAGACTGTGATAATCATTAACCACTATGATCTATACAGGATCAGCGAACCATCTCATCACTGCACATAATGCGACTGAGAAATTTCATCTGAATAAGCATAATTACACATTTTCCTTGTTTGAATTCAATGCCTGACTTTCAGTCTTAACTTTGTATTAATTGTGCAGTTTGACATATTAATAACCAAATCTCATATGTACAATTAAAATGAATACAACGGTAAAATAATTACACAATAAATACGGACCACTCCTATCTATCGATGTTCTTACGCCATCATCTTCAGGAGTAGAAGTTGAAGTTTGGTCTATACTTATATAACTATATAATTGTTTGCATTCCTTGAGCGCCATCTAGACTAGAAACACCTAGAGTTTACAAAACATATATCCAATACTTTATTTTTTCTATTCCTGGACCAACTTCTTTGTTCAGTACAATATCTTTGTGTTTATTTTTTTCCTTCAATTTTTATCATTTTTCTAATTTTGAATTCAAATTTCAACTCAACCCGATTTATCAATTTAGCATTACTTCAGTCTATAACACGAGATGTGTCTGCCACATGTTCTGCTTAAGTCAACTCATTTATTTTATTTTTTTCTACTGTATTTTCATGTTCGTTGATCCTAAAATTAAAATTTGTGCCTGTTTGGTTAATGCGAATTCGACCATAGTAACAAGGAATTTTATAAATCCCACATTTATCAACTTTTTCAACTCTATCTTTTATATCGGTAATAAAATTATTTAGTTTACAACACGAAGAAAATGTTACACTACATTCTGTATATATTTTTTATTATGTTACATATTCTTGTTGATAAACCTTGAACATGTGGTAAACAAACCCTCGTGTATCAACTTTATCCTTCCCTTTAGCTTTGTACATGATGACATTTATAATTTATTAGACCACCCGTGACCCGTTGGGTCACCCACTATTCAGAGGTTATGAAGAATTCAAGCTAATTTCTATATTGCACCGAAATGAAGGTTTATTTTGAGATAATTTAATTAAATATTTCAATCTATTCGTGTTATTCTTAATTCAAGAAAAAAATATATTTGATTGTTGATCGGTAGTAAAAGGAAAGACCATTTCATTTTTCAAAAAGTAAAGTCAGAGTTTTCAAGTATTGTAATGAACAAACCTTGTTCACAATTGATTCAAAACGCCTGAAAATAAGAAATAACAGATAAGAGTAATGTTATTCATAGTTTATTAGAACGTAATTGCTATAAAAAAAAAACAGGTTAGCCCCCCAGTGGCACAGCGGTTTCGATACCCGTGGTGGGCAGAACACAGATAGCCCTTGTGTAGCTTTGTGCATAATTAAAAACAAAACAAAGAAAGAAAAACAGTTCATACTTACTTGCTCAAATTACTGCAAGAAAGAGCAAAACTTGATAACTGATACATTACGAAATTCACTAAATGAAAAATCGTTCTCGCTGTCTCACAGCGAATGATTTTTTGATTGAGAAACTTTTCTCACTTCCTTACCTACCATAACCAAGACACATTATTGAGAAATTCTTCAATATCTTGTTTTTGTTATCTTATGCCTTTTAATGAAGATGGGAACATTGACAGGGAAATAGATTTGAACGAAAAAGTTTCGTAAAGAGCGCGAACGGTAGTGTAATGTAAAATTACTCATGCTAGAAATTTTCATAAACGTGACCCGAGAAATGAAGCTAACTCGGTAACCTATGGCCCGATTTTAACGAAACTTGTTTTATTCTGTTGCTATTCTCATTTCTCATATTCTATTCATATTTCTATTCTCATATTGTGCGCCATTTTTGCTGTATTTTATTACAGGCAAGCAAATAAACAAACAATCTCAGAGTTTTAGTACTATATAGAGAGATAGATGTTTGCGATACTTTCGTAAGTCAGCACAACATTGCATGATGACCTGGATAGAATGTTTCTGCCTTAAAATTATCTTCTATGATTTTCAGCTTAGATTTATAATTACCTCT